CCTGAAAATGCTGCTTTTCAATAAGGCCCTCCAGCCCCCGTCAGCAACAGAACGAGAGGATCCGGGTGCGCATAAGTCTAAGGACGGGAGAGGCTCCGCTCCGTCCAAGAGCCTAAGTGCAACAGACGCACGAGGCTCGTCGGGCCACCCTCCCACGCAGGGAGCGGTCAAATTATCGAAAGCCCGCAGCACATCAGCGCCGAGTCCCGCTCTCTCAGTGGTATCAGTCTCCAGCCCCCGTCAGCAACAGAACGAGAGGATCCGGGTGCGCATAAGTCTAAGGACGGGAGAGGCTCCGCTCCGTCCAAGAGCCTAAGTGCAACAGACGCACGAGGCTCGTCGGGCCACCCTCCCACGCAGGGAGCGGTCAAATTATCGAAAGCCCGCAGCACATCAGCGCCGAGTCCCGCTCTCTCAGTGGTATCAGTCCCGCCGGGCCTCCCAGAATCGGCACCATCATCGGCGGCACCGAGTCTCCGAACGGCACCGCAGCCAGATACGGTGCGGTCCTCGGCACCGAGGCACTCGGCACCGTTGCCTCATGATCGCTCCCAGGCTAATCCGGCACCGGGAGTCGACCCGGCACCGAAGCCTAAGCAGGCACCGAAGACTAAGCCACAGCCACCTAAGGCACCGGATACGGCACTGAGGAAACACTCGGCACCTAGGTCATCCCATTCAAGACCTAGTGATGCAGCTATCCCACACACTCAGGGCACGTCAGCACCAACCCGCACTGACCAACCATCGTGTGCGGCTGACCCGGCTCCGTGTGTGGTTTCGGCACGGCCCTACAACCCCATGTTTCTGAGAGTGACACGGCTCCACCATCCCCATCTTCGGCGCCTCGGTCACCACACCTTCCGGGAGAAGTCTCGGAAGTTGCCTCAGTTGCCTCCCTTCCGGGTAGCCCGGTCCCCCAGACACTACCATCCACGGCGGTACCGACTAAGGCACAAAGGAAGACCCACCATCCTCGCACACCTTCTCCAGGTTCAGATAGAGCAACCTTCTCTCCTGGACCATCGCTCTCACCACCTCAAAGACGGCGGGATCATTACTACGATTATTCCCCGACGCATCGCTATTACAGATCCCCAAGGCGATCCATTACACCGCCTCACTATCACCGCTCATATTACTCGAGATCCCTGTATCGTTATTCATACCGCTCACGATCCCCACGATCTCCTCCTCGCTCCCGTTACTATCACCACAGGAGCGCCGCTTCGTATTCTCCACAGTATTCACACCGTGGTTCTCGCCTTCGTGTGCACACCTCACCTCATTCTGATCGTTCACGTTCAGTTACAAGACACTCACCCTTGTCCCCAGACCGGCAACAATTATATTCGCCACGGCCGACTACCCATGATGATACCACTCAGTCGCCGGTGGCAGAGCACCAGCCCGTGGCCTCTCCGACAGATGCCGCTTCTTCTTCCCTGGACGACGCGGTTTTTAACAACGAACCTCCTCTTGTGGACGACTACAAGCAATTTCATGAACTTTTCAAACGGATAGCGCATTCACAAAACTTACGCACCTCTGGGGCACCACCTAAACACCATGCCCTCCTTAGAAACTTGCAGCAGTCCAGCAAGTCAAAACTAGCTCTCCCTTTCAATGCCGCTATCCTGGAAGTAGCTAATGACATCTGGCAAACCCCGGCATCTATGCCCCCTACCAATAAACGCACAGACAGAAAATACTTTATTGATGCCAAAGACGCAGAATTTCTTTTCACTCACCCCGCACTAAATTCCATCGTTGTCGACGCAGTTCAACAAAAGGCAAGGTCCGCACAAGCGAGAAATTCCACCGCGGACAAAGAAGCCAAGCGTCTGGACTTGCTCGGCAGGAAGGTATATTCGTCGGCAACAGCCACATTAAGGATGGCAAACTATTCCGCCCATCTTGCTAACCATGACTTCAATAACTACTCGAAGTTGGTGCCGTTGATACAACATCTTCCTCATTCCAAGAGAGACGTACTGAAATCCATTGTGCAGGAGGGTTACACAGTGGCCCGTAATGCACTCCAGATATCTCTGGATATTGCCGACTCAGCTTCCCGCACTACGGCGACATCGATTGTCATGCGACGTGACTCTTGGCTCCACCTGGCCTCTGTGCCAAAAGATCTACAGCCAAAGGTGGAAGACCTTCCGTTCGACCGAGTGTCCTTGTTTGCTCAAAACACGGATCAAGTGTTTCACTCTGGAAAGGACTCCCGAACCACATTAAGAACTCTCGGGATGTACACTCCGCCTTTCAGGCACAGGAGAGCTTGGCCGTATAACAGACAAAGGCCTCCTCCTTATTATTATTCCAACCAACGCTTCAGGCCCTACGACCAACATAGACAAAGGCAGCGCCCCCCACGTCCCGAACCACGTTAAGAACTCTCAGGATGTACACTCCGCCTTTCAGGCGCAGGAGAGCCTGGCCGTATAACAGACAAAGGCCTCCTCCTCCTTCTTCTTCTTTTTATTCCAACCAACGCTTTAGACCTTACGACCAACATAGACAAAGGCAGCGCCCCCAACGCCACCGCCAGCAGCCTAACAAAAATCACAACCAGCAACAACCTCGGCAGCAAGTTTGACGGACTTGTCGAGGGTCTGCGTACCATCCCCCTACTGGAATCCCCAACACAAGTAACCAAGCTCTTCCACCGCCGTCTGAACCCTTACTCCCTTCGTTGGTTCGCCATCACCATGGACCGTTGGGTCAGGGAGATCGTAACCTCTGGACTCACCATTCCGTTCTCAACTTTACCTCCCACCAACCCCGCATCCCTGTCCCTTTTCAGGGACCCCTCTCATGAATCCCTGTTACGTCAGGAGGTCATGCACCTGCTTACCATAGGTGCGGTGGAAATAGTTCCTCCCGAGTTCCGAGGCAGAGGTTTCTATTCCCGGTACTTTCTCACCAAGAAGAAGTCGGGGGGATGGAGACCGATCCTAGATCTTCGTGGCCTCAACCGCCACCTGCGAAGACACAGATTCAAGATGGTTACTCTGGGTTCCATTATCCCAGCACTACACAAAAGGGATTGGTTCGCGTCCCTCGATTTACAGGACGGATACTTCCATATTGCCATCCATCCAGCTCACAGGAGATTTCTACGCTTTACCGTGGGAGACGATCATTACCAATACACGGTGCTCCCCTTTGGCCTATCCGCAGCCCCAAGAGTGTTTTCAAAGACCATGGCAGTCATAGCTGCGTACCTCCGTCGAGCCGGCATCACCATCTTTCCTTATCTCGATGACTACCTCCTCACAGCCCCTTCGAGACAAGAGACCGAGACCGCAGTTACCACTACAAAAGGTATCTTCGAGACTCTTGGACTAATTATCAATCTTCCAAAATCTACTATGATTCCCACCCAGTCCATCGTTTTCATTGGAGCCAAACTAGACTCTACCACCGCTGTGGCGTACCTACCTACAGACAGAGCCGACACCATACGGGACTTATCGAGCGTCTTGCTTACGGCCCCGACAGTCTCATACCTTACCTGCCTGAAGCTGTTAGGCCACATGGCCTCCACCACGTATGTCATAACCTACGCTCGCCTCCGAATGCGATGTCTACAACATTGGCTCCTTGTAGCCTACAAACCGTGATGTATGCATGATCCCCTCGTGGACAGGACCAGATGGGGCATAGTTAGTGTGAGACAGTTATGTTTTATTACCTTATGTTTTCTTTTTCTCTTGCCTCTAAGATCGGTCAAGCTACGGTCAAATGAGGCTTATCTGTAAATGCAGCTAGGCGCTATCTAGTTATGCTCACCTCCCTATTTTCTGGTGCTTTTGAGTTCCAGGATGCCCGTGAGGTCAAATTCCATTTACAAAAACTGCATTGTGCTTCCCATGCTCCTCTGAGTATCTGGATTTTTTGTGAGGGGCCTTGTGTGGCAGAATGGACTATACGCGAAGGCCGTGGACAGAAAAAGCCTGCTTTACAACAGTGTCTAAAGTTGATGAAAAAATATTGTTTTTCTGAATGGCTCCTATCACATTTCTGAGCAGACAAGATAGTTCTTTTAGTTCATACTTCAACAGGTAAGAATGATAAAAAGCACATGTGAGTAGTAGAATTTGGAGCATCAATAATATACTACTGGTTGGACCTCCCTGGTCTGGCACCCTAAGGACCCAAGAGGTTCCAAACCAGGGAATTTGCTCAACCAGGGGAGGTCGTCAAGGTTCCTCTCTGGGCTGTGGGTGTTCCTGGAGCCTCGGCTTCCTTCCACACTGCTGGCTCCATGCCGGGGCTCCCAGGATCACCCTCCTTGGACTGGGATTCCTCCCTGGCCACCGCTGGCCCCCTCTGCCAGGGTTCCCGGATGGGGATTCCCCCCCTAGTCACCGCTGGCCTTGCTGCCACTGGAGTTCTGGGCTGGGGTCAGGGATCCCCCAGCTACTGCTTCCTTCCAGACCACAGATGTTGCCAGACCAGAGAGTCCCGAATTTGGGAGGTTCAGCCTGTATAGATTGTCTTGAGGTTCCTGTTAGCTTGTAGCTTACAATTGACATCACACAGAGAGAGCATCGCAAAAATTTAGCTGTTCTTTTGCTTTCCAGACTTTTTCTTAGATGGCTGTTAAGATGCAGAGAAAAGTAGGTAGGGAGGAATTCTCTCTACCTCCTGATGGTTACTGCTGTTCATTTTCACTGCAACCCACATATTTACTGTGCAAGTGCTTCTTTTCTTATTTCTGTGCTACTGTGCAAAGTGTTGGAAGCAGACACTGACACTGAAGCACAAAAAATATTTAAAAAAAGGGTCCTGTAGCACCTTAGAGACTAACCAAAAATATATAGATAGTATCATGAGCTTTCATGGGCACAACCCACTTCTACCCTTGTTGCTTTTTAAATATTTTTAGTTACAGACTAACAAGGCTACTCCTCTGACACTGGAACATTGAGTGACTCCAGGACCCAGCTGTCCAAACACAGCCCATCTTGCCTACCCAACAATTTGCTGGCCTGAGTCCCTAGTGGTAGCAACAGTGAGAGGTGGAGGCATCTCACCTCTGAATTCCAGGGAAATCCCATTCAAAGCATACATATCCCTTGTCTCCCCCCCCCCCAGTAGTACCACTTTGGTATCTTTCCTTACTCATCCAGACATTCGCACCTGCTTTATCCCACTCAGCAAAATTCAGAATTCCCATCCTTTAGCAGCACCTTCCCTCCTGCTATCTAATAGCCCCCTGCATCTAGTATTCTTCACCCTAGCACCAGGTGGATAGGTTGGGGCAAAGATGAAAGTAAGCTACTGGCATGTTCTGAGGCACCAATAAGAGAGTGATCAGCTGGAGCCAGAGCTCTGGATGCTGCTGGTCACTGTACAACAGTATTCCTCCCCTTCTGCCTCCCTCATTCTCCTTCTACATTTCTCTCCCACAGGAGCCCAACCCCCACCCCAATGCTGGACAACCAGGGACAATACCCTGTGGGTCTGAGGGACCACCCACAACCCCTGGGTGGCTGGGCAGTTCACTTCTCCCACCAGCCCTGGGGATCTAGTGGCCAGGGCAGTGTGGCTGTTATCCCTGATAGCCCCAGGGACCCAAATGGCCAGGCATTTGAAAGGGGCAGCACTGCACCCTTACCCTGGGTTCCATGTTATGCTGCCCCTTTGAAGCCCCGCGGCGGTGTTTCAAAGGGGCAGCGCCGCACAGCTGAGTCTGGGATCAGCTGTGTGGTGCTGCCCCTTTGAAATGCCACCTTGGCACAGCACCACATGGAGCAGCACTTCATGGAGCCTGGGGTCAGTTCTTTGTGCTGCTTTGAAACACTGAGGCTGCACAGCTGAGCCTGGGATCAGCTATGTAGCGCTGCCCCTTTGAAACGCTGCCATGGCGTTTCAAAGCAGCTGAGCTGCACGGAGCCCGAGTACGGGCTCTGTGCAGCTTGCGACTTTGAAGTACCCCGTTTTTCCCCCAGCGAGGGGGAGGAGGGGAATCTACTTGTTGACTGAACTATCCAATAAGCTTTTGCTTATCAGAGATTCGACTAGTCCTTAACATCCTTACCCTGAGCCTCTCACCCTCTGCCTTCACTCCTGCACCCTCAACATCTAATCCCCTGGTTGAGTTGCAGTATAGCAGTACCTATAAGAAATTTAAGTTACTTTCACCCCTGAAGTTGAGGTTAAGAAATACAAAGAATTCTGAACTATAGAGTGAGGGGAGAAAAATTGGATTGTTTAGATTCATGAATGGAAAGGTCCCAGATCTAGATCTAAGCATTACAGTTATCTGATGAGAAAGCGCGGTGAAACACCACTGGTATGAAAGTAGATTCATCTGACGTTTTCTCCTCTGAGAGATTGTCCTTTCCAGTAGGACAACCCCCTCATGAGGTCCTGATGACAAAATATGAGTATCTTTAAAAAGATCTTGTTAATTCTCCTATTCTAAAGCTAATGCTCTTATTTGTCTCATTTACTGAGCTCTTTCACCTTCACACACACCCTTTCAGGTGCTAACAAGGCTAAAATACTGGCATTGGTATCTAGATTTTTGCATGATACCTTTACTACTCATATAACGTAGTGAGTTTTACAGTATATAAGATAAGATTTCAGTTATGACTGATTTTCTCCATATTATTTAGGAATGATAACTCAGCTAGGAGAAAAGTACAACCTACCTTTGAAAATGAGCTTCAGCTCTGCTCGTGGATTTTTTATCCAGATAAATGCAGAATGTGCAGCACTACCTAATGGCCAGCTTCCTTCAGAATTTACAAAGGTATATGTTCTAAACATGTTTTGTCATGGAAATAATGTGACATTATGTAATAAATGAGGATAGAATTTATTTAACCAAATTCTTCTATATAGTATGTTAAATGGTTGTATGTACTATCATATTTGTCCAAACATATGAAATAGTATAAGGTTGCTATTCTGTGTACACTTGTTTTTTCATGCTATTATTTAGGAAAAATGAAATAAGATAATGGTTTTGTCACTTGCTTTCCAGATTGTTCCTACTTTGTTTTTTTTTTTAAATCTTTATGATCACTTTTTTGACATGTATTACTGTACATTTGAATTTCCCTA